CTGAGTTTTCACAAAACTACACATGAATCGATAAGGCAAAGTTTAGCACACATTCATCAAGTTCTCCACTCGAATTAGCCCTGATGTTTCATTTTCTTAGCCATAATGACCCACAAATGCACCGATAACTAGGAACCGCACAACCAGACAACCATGCGATCCAATCGTAGATGGTGGGTCTCCCCCACTTAGCTTTAAGCTACAATTATATAAACCTAGAACCCACAAAGATTTTTCTTTTTCAATTACCATGATCTCACACCGTCAACCCGCCATATTTCTTGTAGTTTATTATTAAACGTTTCAGGAACATTTCGAATTATCGGCCACGATCGCATATTCAACCTTCCGTCTGGTAGTAAGTAGAATTCTTCATAGAAAGTTCATCAAAATCACGCAACCGCTAACCTGCTCACATGAGATAACCCACCTGTGGAGATTCCATACTGACATCTTCTAATAATGCTGCACTGGGTAGCACCACCGCGAACTCAGTCATACATGCTCGCCCACCAGTTGTACAAGTCTGTTCATTCCCTATTGACATTAACTTAAAGTCCGACAATACGCTCCAAACTCGAAGTCATGTTGCATCCCAAAACGACAATCAAGTTTTCACACCTCTCTTCATTTCAAGAAAACTCCTCTCAGCCATATTCAATCTTCCTCAGTACAGTAGCGTCCATCTTAAATAAAAATCTGTGGACCTAGTCACTTTTCACCACAATTCCCAAATCGTTCTAAACGTTTCTCAAGGCATGTGGCTATCCTACCATAGAATTCATATGCTAATCTGCTACTCTCGCTTCGGTTAAACCATATCCTTTAAGCGACTTCTTGACCTCTGCTTTTCATACTTGACCTGCTAGTAATTCAAGCACCATGAGATACCTCACGCCATGTCCTTCCTCATACTTTGCTGCCCAAATGTTGCCTCAAGTCAAATCCATACCTGTAGCACCTGAACTAATAAATTACTTCCAACTCCAAGCCTCCTCGAAGATTATCTTTCTCGAGCCATCAGCATGCGAAATACTGATTCGATTATGAAACCACTACAGATCGCTATCTCTGACAATCGCTTCTCAGACATTATTTCAACGCACCCCGCCCTGAAGGCAAATCAAGAAAACCATAACACCGACGAACCTTAATGCGTTCCAACGAGGTCGACGACACCACATCACAAATGAGGATTCCACCATGCCCAAAATATCAAGTCTCATTACTCCATCAACCAAGGCTTGAGCATCCATAGACCGATTGTCTTTCCCCCCGCTGGAATTAAATGCCGACCCCTAATCCATGCACTGAGAAATCCCCCTTTCGGGTCATTCACTGCCTCGACACATAGACAAGTACCCTACTATTACACCAACACTGCGTGATAATAATGCATGAATGCCATAACAATTTGTGCATAGCCTCAAAACCATAGGCAATACTGATACAGGGCATGGAACGACATAACACCCTTCCACAAGATGATGCTAATAACTCGCTCGAGTACGCAGGGAAAAACATCCTGCACTACATCTGCAGTACCATTACAACTCCTCAATTCCCAATTGATAACAAGCGCTCCACATCGCATAAGGTTGAGTAGGAAGTAAAAAAGGCATAAGCCTCAAAGGAATCAAACCGCACGATGATGAATCAAGAAGGGAAGTGCTCCTAACAGCCCTGTAGCCTCTCGAAGATAAGTACCGATGTTTCCGTACCGATCGGCAAGACTCTACTAGACTTGCTCATGACTCATGTGACCTAAGTGAATATAACGCTCTGATACAAAGCTGTTGATATGCCGTAGAATTACGACACTTTTAATACTAATTACATAGAATTTAGCTCGTTGTTTTAGAATTTTAAGTCATTTTTATGTAGTTTTGGTGGTTTGCAGGTGATGAGACTTGAAGAACCAAAATCATAAGAGAAGTTGTCAAATAGCTATGAATGGATGCAAATATAACTGATACGCGATCACATAAATGATATGCGATTGCATAACTGATACGCGGGTCGCAAAGGTATCTCATAATGAATTAGTCTATTCCAGATGTTGATCGCCATGTATGCGATCAATTATGCGGTTGCATAACAGTTATGCGAACCGCATACTGATCGCACAATAATAAGAGGAATTAGCTGAAGGGTGATATGCGATGGACTATGTGGTCACAGAAGTGATATGATGGCCGCATATTTGAATTGCGAAGGAAAAGACTGGACGATTGTCAACCAATTCTGCGATGGAAATTTAGTTTTGCGGACCGCGAATGCCTTCTGTGGCCTGTTCTGCGGTCGTAGAATATCTCTATAGGGTATTTTTGTCAGGTTTTGACCACAACTTTTAGATCATTATAAATAGAATGATTAGGGTTTTTGTGTTAGGACTGGTCGGATAGAAGGAAGCTACACTTAGAGAATTGAATGCACCATTATTTTGGAAGCTTGGAAGATAAAATCCAAGACTTTGTCTATAATTGTAAGCTTCGTGACTTTATTTATTACATTGTTTTTATATTCTAGTAATGAGTAGCTAAGTTAAAATACTAAGGTTGTGAACCCTATGTGGGTGTAATGTTAATGTGTGTTCATCAGTGAATGTTTTTATAATGGTTAGTCAATTTCTATTCATTTCTCATGCTTCATTATAGTTGATAGTTGCAAACATTGACTAGTGCCAATTCATTCTATCTTTACTTGGGAAAGTAGGTTAGAGTTTGGTAGAATTGAATAGCAAGAACTCATGGCTCTAAACCTTGTTTAATAGAATCTCTTAGGGATAAGTGGGTTCTACTTGGCGTAAATTGGTTGTTCCTAATTATCACTTCTTTTATATCTGGAAAAATCATAAAGAGGAACTACTGTCTAATTATTGGAAAGTATTAGTTAGTTCCGTAGGGATCATTTTGCATATCAACGGGCTTTCCATTAACAAAATATAAAATATGAACACCATTAGCATTACATTCCATTGATGTAGATACAACCTTAATTTCTTAATCAATTTAATCAAATCATATCAACGAAATAGCTTTTATTGATAATTCACAATTACAACACTCACTTTTTAAGCTAACGGAGTAGGATTACGATTTAAGTCAAGTTTCACACTACTCAAGTAACCTTTTCACACCTATTCTCTGTGGTATTCGACCCCAACCTAGTTGGGTTACTATATTTGACATCGATCGCGTTACAACATTTATTTAGGTGTAATTTGAGCGTATCAAATTTTGGCGTCGTTGCCGGAGAATTCGGTTTTGAAATTACTAACTAGTGTGTGCTTTACTTTACGTCTTCTTCTATTCCATCATACTTTGCTTGTTTTGCTTTGTGTCATTAGGTAAAAATGGGCGAGCCGGTAGAAGAGAATGTGTTTGCAGATATAGATTAGTATATTGAGGATACAAATGCCATTGTACCTCCAAGAGTTGATGTTGCGACCTTCAAAGTGGAATACACTTTAATCCTAATGCTAAAAGTGGAAGGGTTCTTCCGAAATTCCACCGATGATGATCCGACACAATATCTCAGAAATATTTTGGGTGTGTGTGAGATGCATAAGTAGAATCATGTCTCGGATGATGCCCTAAGGTTGAGGGTGTTCAAATACTCTCTAACTGGAGAGGCAAGACAGTGGATCCAAAATCTACCTCCTAATTCCATCCACACTTGGCCCGAACTTGTCCAAGCTTTCCTAGAAAAATAGTTTCCACAAAGCAAGAAGGCTGAGCTCCGGGATAAAATCTTCTTCTTCAAGCAATTACCAGGAGAGCATCTACATGAGGCATGGGATAGATTCAAGCTATAGTTGGTAAGGTCTCTGAATCATGACTTTCCAGATAATATTCTATTGGAGAAGTTTTATATGGGCTTGGATCCTATGAATCAATCCATAGCCAAAAATGCAGCGGATGGTTCCTTTATGGACAAAACATTTGCAAGGGTCACAAAAATCCTAGTTAAGATGGCTGAACATAACCAAGCTTGGCACTCAGAAGATACCACGGGTGGAATTACATATGGAACTCCCTCCTTGACCAACATGATTAAAGAGAACCAAGAAAGGGATCAAATAATTGCCGGACTTGCCACCAACGTCAACGTGTTGACGAAAATGTTCACTGAAAGCCAAAAAAAATGTGGAAGATGTGCAACCCATGTTGAATGAGGAGTATGAAGAAGAAAATTATGTCAACAATCCTTAAGGAGGATATCAAAGATAATCTTACCAGGACAACAACATTAATGGAGGTCTAACCCGCAAGGGCAAGGCAACCAACAATGGTGAAATGACCAAGGTAATTCCAATCAAGAAAATTGGAGTAACAACAATAACTTTTCAAATCGAAGTTTAAACCCCTATCTTCCACCAAAGGGGCAATATTCTAATTCTCAGCATTGGAAAGAAAGCTCTTCAAGTGATTCCAAGTTAGAAAGCATGCATGAAAGAGTGTTGCAAAATCAGGAGAGAACCAACACTTCAATGAAGAATATGACCGAACTTGTGGGTTCTCACACCGCATCCATAAAAAATTTAGAAATGCAAATGAGAGACCTCTCAAGAGAGCAAAATCCGCAGCAGAAAGGCACACTCCCAAGTGACACAATTGCAAACCCAAAAGGTAGTGGGAATGGTCCGACTTCCCATTGTATGACAATCACAACTCAAAGTGGGAAACATTTCTAAGGATAGAATGAATAAGTAGTCGAAGTGGAAGATTCTAAACAAGAATTTGAGGCATAAATTGAGGTGCCAATTGTTGTTGAAGTTGAAAGACTCCCGAAAAAGGTGAAAATTCAAGAAGTGAACAATGAAGAGGTTAAGGAAAAGGTAATAGAGGCACCAAAAACTCTAGCATAAATTCCTAGGCCTCCTCCACCTTTCCCTCAAAGACTTTCTAGGAAGTTCGATGATAGCAAACTCGAGAAGTTCTATGACATTCTAAAGAAATTATCGGCGAACATTTCCATTTGTGGAAGCATTTCAAGAGATGCCAAGTTTTGCTAAGTACTTGAAGGACTTGATCACTAAAAAAAGAACCACCAAGAATGAAGTGGTGAATGTAACTTACCGGGTTAGTTTCATCATTGCAAGAACCATCGTCAAAAGGAAAGAGGACCCAGGAGCCTTCACCATTCCATGCACTATTGGATTGCGCGATTTTGCACGAGCCCTTTTTGATAACGGGGCTAGCATCAACTTAATGCCTCTTGTTATTTACAAGCAAGCAGGATTAGGTATGCCTGAGCCTATAAGTATGAGGTTGCAAATGGCTGACTGTTCAATAAAGCGACCGGTGGGAATTGTTGATGATGTTCTTGTGAAAGTGTGGAAGTTTCTCCTCCCTGCCGACTTTGTTATCCTCAATTTTGCTGTTGATAAAGAAATCCCTATCATCTTGGGGAGACCATCCCATGCTACCGGGAGAGCACTCATGGATTGGGATCGAAATGAGATCAAGTTCCGAGTTAATGACGAAGAGGTTACCTTTCAAGCGAGTAAAGGTATGAAATTTCCACATGCATACGAAAGTATCTCAGTCATTGGTATTGTTGATGAGGTAGAGGATGCAGTCGAGGTGAAGATGGAAGAGGAATGCCTTGGTGAGGTATTGACGGCTATTTTGGTAAATTTTGATGGTAAAGACATGGAAGGATATATGGAATCAATGAATGCATTGGAAGGGCTTGGGTCCTACACTTATGCACCAAAGAGGCTTTCTCTTGACTTAGAGAATAGAGTCACCCCTCCTGCTAAGCCTTCAATTATCGAGCCACCACAACTTGAGATCAAGCCACTTCCACCACACTTAAGGTATAAATTTCTTGGCCCTAATAAAGCTCTACCTGTAATTGTTTCTTCTTTGTTGAATGATGTGTAGGTTGAACACTTATTGAATACCTTGAGGGAGCACATACATTCCATTGGGTGGACTATAGCGGATATCCGAGGCATTCTCGCCGGAATTTGTGAGCACAAGATACAATTGGAGCAAGAGAGCAAACCTAGCGTGGAGCTTCAAAGAAGGTTAAACCCTTTCATGTAAGAGGTGGTGAAGAAAGAAATCATAAAATGGCTGGATGTCGGGGTTGTCTACCCCATTGCCAATAGTCCTTGGGTGAGTCCGGTGCAATGTGTGCCGAAGCAAGGAGGTATGACCATGATTCAAAACAATAAAAATGAACTCATCCCAACGAGGACGGTGACCGGGTGGAGAGTTTGCATGGATTACCGGAAGCTCAATAATGCTACTTGCAAATACCATTTTCCGATGCCTTTTATTGATCAAATGCTTGATCGGCTAGCAGGAAGGTCATTTTATTGCTTCCTGGATGGTTATTCCAGCTACAACCAAATCAACATCGCCTTAGAGGATCAAGAGAAGACAACATTCACATGCCCGTATAAGACCTTTGCCTTTAGCCGGATGCCATTTGGGATATGTAATGCCCAGGCCACCTTTCAATGATGCATGATGTCAATCTTCTCAGACATGGTGGAGGATTTCTTAAAGGTGTTTATGGATGAGTTTTCTGTAGTTGGTGATTCCTTTGAGCATTGCCTTAACAACCTTAGACAAGTGCTCAAAAGATGTGAGGAAACAAACCTTGTGCTAAATTGGAAAAAAATGTCACTTTATGGCGGACGAGGGTATTGTTCTGGGCCATAAAATTTCCAAGCAAGGCATATAGGTTGATCGGGCAAAGATCGAGATCATTGCCAATCTTCCTCCTCCCACTTTAGTAAAAGGCATTCAGAGCTTTTTAGGTCATGTCGGTTTTTATAGGCGATTTATCAAAGACTTCTCAAGAATTGCAAGTCCCATGTGCAAGCTCCTTGAAAAGGATGTAAAGTTTGATTTCGATGAGAAGTGCCCCAAAGCTTTTGAGGAATTAAAATCAAGGCTCATCACGACACCTATTATTGTCACACCCGTTTGGTCTCTTCCATTTGAACTTATGCGTGACGCCAATGGTGTAGATATTGGAGCGGTACTAGGTCAACGGCATAACAAGATTCTTCATCCTGTCTACTATGAAAGAAAGACACTGAGTGTCGCACAAATGAATTACACTGTGACGGAGCAAGAACTGCTTGCTATTGTCTATGCGTTTGAAAACTTTCGGGCCTATTTGTTGGGCTCCAAAGTGATAGTCTACACCGATCATGCTGCTCTCCGCTACCTTATGATGAAGAAGGATGCTAAACCAATATTGATTAGGTGGGTTCTTTTGCTGCAAGAGTTTAACTTTGAAGTCAAATATCGGAAAGGAACAGAGAATCAAGTTGCGGATCACTTGTCTAGGCTTGAAGAGGTAGGGAGACCAAAAGAAGATCTTGAAATTAATGATGCCTTCCCTGATGAACACATATTGGCATTGTCTAGCACCTTCACTCCTTGGTACACCGACATTGTTAACTTCTTGGTTAGTAACCTTATCCCCAACGGATTAGAAGCTTATTAAAAAAAAAGTTTTTGCGGGAGTGTAGGCAATAATTTTGGAAGGAACCCTTTTTATTCCGAAATTGCGCCGACAACATCATTCGGTGTTGTGTTCCAGAGGATGAGGTAATTTAAATTCTCAAAGCATGTCATGACTCCCCAGTTGGGGGCCACCACAGTAGAAATTGTACCGCAGCTAAAGTGCTTGAATGCGGCTATTATTGCCCATCTATCTACCAGGATGCAAACCAAATAAAGCAACCATTTCCAAATCTAGACCAACAACCATTGCCAACTTAGTTCAGAAGTTGATTTAGCAAAGCCATTAGGGAATGAAGTTCAAATGGAGAATAAAAATGCAGCTGGGCATCTAGAAAGGTTTTTTGCAAAATTTAGATTACGAATCTATACCATCCTTGTGTTACCACCACAACTTACAAGGTCATAGATAGTGATGCCACTTGCAAAATATGTATCCCGATTTGGTAGGAGAATGATAATGTAACGACCCGACCGGTCGTTTTGTGTTAGTGCGCCCCGCTTCCCCTTTTGATGCCTCACATATGTGTAATTTTGGTTTTATGACTTATGGGGTTGATTGGTTTCGTTCCGGAAAGGTTTCGAGTTGATTTAGGCCCTTTGACTCTTGGATTAGAAGCCTAAGTTGATTATGTTGACCAAACTTTGATTTTTGTAAAAATGACCTCGGAATGGTATTTTGATGGGTCTGATAGGTTCGTATTATGATTTTGGACTTGGGCGTATACCCGAAATCGAATTTCGAGGTCCATAGGTTGATTTGTGTTGTTAAGCCAAAAATTGGCAATTTAAGGATTAGAAGTTTGACCGTAGGTTGACTTTTGACTATCGGGTTCGGAATTTAGTTTTGAGACTTGGAATAGGTACGTAATACTATTTAGAACTTGTCTGCAAAAGTTGGTGTCAATCAGATTTGGTTTGATAAGATTCGGATGCTTGGTTGCAATTCTAGAAGTTCTTGAACTTTTCTTTGAAATTCATGCGTTTTAGTCTCTGATTCGTAGTTCTAGAAGTTATTTTTGTGTTTTGATTGTGCGAGCGAGTTTGTATAATGTTATTAGACTTGTATGGATATTTGGTTTGGAACTCCGAGGCCTCGGATGAGTTTCAGACTTGTCGCAGAATGAATTTGAATTAAAATAAAATTGTTAGTGTGATGATGCTCTAATGTTGCAATTGCAAGTGTTGATACTCAATTTTGCCCTAATATTTTTTAAAATAGTATATATACTTTCAAAATATCATTTTACATCATACTTAATTTACAAAAGTTATACCAATGTTTTCTATAATTATTTTTTTTATAAATTTTAAAGCTTTAAAATTGATTTTGCTTGCATTTTAATCACCTGAATATGTATTAATTACCCTTTTAAATTATTTTGTGATGACTTAATCGTCCAAATTTATTATTTGAATCCACATATATGTCCCATGATATTTTACCTTACTTTATATATTTATATTTGTAATCAAAAGCTATTTTGCACAATTCTGCAATAATAGCCTATATTCTATACATAATTGTATTTATTATATTATTCATACTAAAATAGCATTTCGCATATCTTTATAATGTTAAGTTGTTACTTCCAAATATTTCACTGCACGAATAATATTTTTATTTATGTATTAGTCTTTTTTTATAATTTATTTTGTATGAATTTTGTGTATTTAAATTTCAGCCCAATACAAGGCTAATTTTCGGACCAAAACAAGCCTAGGGCACCTAGCCCATTCATTTCACCCTTCAGAAGCCCAAACCAAATAACTCATACATCTAAACCGGTCTGGACCCATTTTTAGACCCGCGCCACCTTCTTTTAATCTTGGTCGTTGATCTCAAATGATCATCGACCCAAAATAATACCCTCACTCTTCTTAATCCTTCTCCCCAAATCCCAGAGACCATTTCCCCCAACCCAGCCGCCTATGCATTCTCTCATCTCTCCACTCTCACGCTAAACCCTAGCCGACCATGGATATCCTTTCTTATTCTTTCCTTATACGCGTTCATACGCGAGTTATACTTACCTTTCCTGCTACTACCACTCATTTATGGTAACTTTCGCTACCATTGCACTTATGGCAAGTTCGATTCTCACAAATCCGGCTTTGATTCTATGGTTCTGGGTGCTATTGTGGCTCTATACACTGGAGAAGAGAAAAATCTCTCTTGTATATGGTATATCTCCATTGATTCCACCGTGATTAAGGCTTTTGAATGATTTCCCCTGAGTTCGATTCCAACTAGGGTTTGGATTCTGATTCTTCTTTTAGTGGTTCTATTATTGATTGCATGCGATATTTTATTTCTTTATTTGTGCTTGATTTATTATTTTTTATATTTGTTTGTTCAATTTCTACCACTATATAACCCCTCCCCAATTACCCCCTTGGACAGACCTCATTATTGTTATTATTCTCACTGTTCTACCCCTTCACTCATTCACTTACTCTGTTACACTCAAATATTTTCTGAAATTATTGAATTCTTGGTCAGCTGAAAGTCAAGGCCACAATACCATTAAACTACCTCTTCCAGTGCAAGCACTGCTCGGAGCCCTTCTCGAGGCTCTTGTGAATTCTGAAGTACTGGGATTTGGGGTTCCACGTTCTTCCTTCAATTTTTGCTACTGAATCACTAATGATATTCTAAGTTCCTCACTCTTTTGCACATTTAACTTTGCAACTGGTTAGTGTTCTCTACCTTTACAATTCAACTTACCTCCCTCTTGTATGATTGTAACGCCCTGGCTGGTAGTTTTGAGAGTTATAGTCTCGATCCCCTATTAACTGTTTCTCCTATATCTATTTCTGATATTGTGACTTGCCGGGAGGTTTCTTTTTAGTATTTGGATTGTTTTGGGACACTTAGTCCCTAAATGGAGGTTTAAGCCTTAGGATTTAGATCGTAGTCGGAACTATATGAAGACGACTCTGGAATGGAGTTCCGTCAGTTCCGTTAGCTCCGTTAGGTGATTTTGGACTTAGGGGCATGTCCGAATAGTGTTTTGGATGTCTATAACTCATTTAGGCTTGAAATGGAAAAAGTCAAAGTTTTGGAGATTTTGACCGGTAGTGGACTTTTTGATAACGGAGTCGGATTCCGATTCCAGAAGATGGAGTAGGTCTGTAAGGTTGATTATGACTTATGTGCAAAATTTACGGTCAATCCGACGTGGTTTGATATGTTTCGGCATCGGTTGTCAAATTTGGAAGTTTCAAGTTCTTTAAGTTTGAATCGGAAGATGATTCATGATTTTAGCTTTGTTTGATGTGGTTTGAGGGCTCGACTAAGTTCGTATGGTATTTTGGGATTGGCTGGTATATTTGGTTGAGGTTCCGGGGGCCTTGGGGGTGTTTCAGATGCTCAACGGACCACTTTGGACTTAAGG